GGGAAAGCAGAAGGCAGGTTTCAGCCTCAAGGCATTCATTGACTTTTAAAAGGGATACAGCATGACCTGCAGACAGCTGGAGGAGATATGAGGGTGGAGAGAGTCAAGCTCTAGGCACAGCCTGCAGGCAAGAGAGAGAGCTTTCAAACTGTTCCTGAGAGGTTATCAGCCTCAAGGGCTCTGGTGTCAGCAGGAAGGCAAATTGAGACACTGGAGGGAACTTCTTTTATCTTCTGGGAGGAATTGTGGATGTGGGGGTACCCAACCCCAAGACTGAACATGAGACCTCACAAGCTTTTGATTTTCTCTCCAATCTTTACAGCAGATCATACTGATAATACCAGCAGTCTCAGCAAGAGAGGCTTCACAGTGCTGAGTACAAGTCAGAGAGCCCTCACACTCCTTCAGGGGCTTCCAACTGCTACAAGCTCCTGTAGTCCTCTCTGAGATATCTCTGTTCCTGGACCTCCGTGCCTTATCTAAGAGGAAGATCTGCCCATGAGAAAGAAAAGTTCTTACTCAAGAAGTGTCACTAGAGATAGCAAATTTCAGCTTCACATGTTCACAGTCAGGCCTGGAAAGGCAGAAGCTAGGTCTTCTACACATTTCAGGCGGAATAAAGTTGCATGATTTTCTGGAAGGCAATGGAGTGAGCATGTGTGCCTGTGCATATTCAGAGAGCACACACATGTCAATATGTAATTCCTTTCCCTATAGTCAGTACCAGTGAAATAGTCATTTTTGTCAAAGATGTGTACAAGGCAGCAGAGATGGCCGCTGCTTGGGAGGAAATATGAGTCAACTGGGGCACACAGGTTTGCCACCACAGGAGAAGACAAACATATCAGGCTACCTGTGCAGTAGAGAAGGTTATTCTCTTTCAATAATATGGTAGAGATTTAGTGCTATCATTCTGTGTGGGGTATAAGCCCTCTGGAGCCATCTGTCTGTAGGGAGTGTGCATTGTTAGAGCCGGGCTGAAATGGCCAGGTGGTATGTCAGTTTCATTTTCTGTTCCTTTCTGAGATTTTAACATTGAGCCTGCAGTATTGTTATTAGTAATGAGCAAAGGGCCTTGGTTATTAGTGAGTCAGTTAATCACACATAATAAAGGCTGCCTCAGTAGACTCTCCTCCAGGAAGAACAGGCCGTTCTTAGAAGAAAATAAAGAAGATGTGAGGGAAAGGATCAGGGTGGGGCCAAGTGTAAGGTCAGACTTATCCCTTGGGACTTCTTCTGGCACTGAGTAGGTTCATTATTCTTCTAGTAGATATGCAGTAGGGACCTACTGTGTGCCAAGTAAAGAGTTACTAACTTTCAAGCTAATTTATCCAAGGCATTGTCCATGTGTCTAAAGTAGACTTCCATTATGGAATCATAGAGTGAGTTATGACCTCTGATCAGTTTGGTGAGGAAGTAACTTCCTACATTTGCCTGTGCCTCAGTTTCTCCAAAGCCAGAGCTGCCCACCAACCTATGCATTTTCACAAACTTCTTTAGAGGCCTGTCTGTTCACCATTGCCCATACCACCCCATCAAATACAGGAGCTCCCACCTCCCCACACACATACACATGTACCCACATCCACACACAGAGATTGCCTTTGCAAACATGCATATGCATGCACATGCATGCACACACAGGCGTGCATGCACATGGCACAAGAGTCCTGAGCTGCCAACCTCTCTGGCGAAGCTCCCTCAGCCATCAGCTGCTGTTTATTTCTTCGCCTCCTCATTTGGCTCCTGGGAGGATGTTTCAGCAGACTCTTCAGAGAGAAAGAGGAAAAAAAATACAATAGCTCATTAAGCTAATGACCCTTAGCCAGGCTGGCTGCTAGCAAAACGCAGGCAGGGACAATTGCTAGCTTTCCACTGCATCGCAATTGCCTCCGTGGAGGGCTCATTTGTTCTCCTTTCCTTTTGTTTCTCAGACTGAGAAGCATGGGGAAGGCAGCTCTACCTGCATCTGCAGAGAAGCTGGAGGCTCAACTTGCCATCAGAGAGTCAGTTTCGCCTGGAAAACAGCCACAATAGAGACTGGGGTAGCAACTAGGGAGATGATGTTCTGGTACCTGGGTGTCATCTATCAGAGTTCCAGTGCTCAAGTCTTTGTCCTTGACTGACTCAAGCTTTCATCACTATTGAAACAAAGACCCTAGTGTTAGCATTTCTGGAGAACAAGAGCTTGAAGAAGGAGCGATCAGCTGGTAGCCTGAACTCTGGAAATACTGAGGTTAGATCACAATGTCAGGTTTTGAGTACATTCATTTGTCCACATACCATCACAGACTAGACATACGACTTCCTGGGGACATCCCAGGGTAGCTGGTTTCTGTGCAGTGTCCAGAGGCATGAATTCCCTGTCTCTTCTTCCTGGTGATTCAAGTGCCTGGTCCATTTTCGTATTTCAAATCGTCAATATGCTTTTCTCAAATAGTGAGGCCAAGGACTTTATGGAAGATCCTTGTCTGAAGACTTCGTGTCAACACTGTTGCTTCCTGGGGAAAATCCTTGAATTTCAGATTCCTCACACTGATTAAATGAAAAGACAGAACTGTGTGACTCTCCCAACAAGTCCAAGACATTCTAGAACAAACACAGACATGCTCTGCAGTCATTTCCTTCTGAAAATTTGGGAGAAGTGAGAAACTTGTTTTAAAAAGATGGTGGGGTGGAGCAAAGATTTGTAAATACAAAGTAGGAGAAACCTCTTAAATGTTGTTAACCTGAAGTCTTGCTTCTGACTTTCCTGTTGTCCAATGAGGACATGCACTTATTATAACCCTTTCAAGTTTAATAATCAAGCTAGCTATTGAATGTCATACTACAAGCTAGGTCCTATTGTACACACTTGCCTTGTTCTGATGCATTTATATTAAAGGATACTTTCTTGTGTGTGATTATGCCATATATCAAGTGAGGAAATTGAGGGGTTCAAGTGACATATTTCTGAGTAGACAGGTACCAACATTCTAGTGTGTGTAGATGAATTGTACCTTCTGAGGAAAAAGTCCAACAACAATTACCTGCACAAATACCACTTTCTTAGATGTATTCAATATATATTCATAATTTTGGCATATTAATTTGAAAAAGAAAAGTCGTACAAGGAGAAAAAAATTCTCTTCACCTTGAGCAACATCCTGGACAACATTTCTTGGCTGTGCAGTACTGACTCTCTTTACCAAAAGCCTAGGATATGTCCCATTAACTCACTGTATTTGTGGGCACGATTGGGCATGTCAGCGATATTTTGTAATAATAATACTATTTGTGTGGGCTAAACGAGAATTCTCTGAAAACAAATATAATACATTTTCTAGATATCTCATCGTGTAATTCCACTCATTAACATGCTGCTAAAAAACTAAGGTGATGAGGAAGGGAAAGAACATGGTTTTCTACATTCTACTTTTTCCATGATTTTGCTGTGTAGATTTACATACTCCAAGCCAAGCTTGGACCTGATCTGCTGAAGCTATAGGGTATGATCTTCCATGCCCCACATAAAAGACGGTGCTAGAGACATATAAGACTTCCAAGGCATTTACTATATGCTTTAAAGAAGCCAAATCACCAATACTCACTTCTTGCAAAATACAACAGATAGACCCACGTACCATAAATGGAAGCAGCTGAATCCAGTTTGAACCTTAAAGCAAGCACATAGCATCCTGATAGATCATTTCTAATATTTTGGTGGGCGTTTTCAAAAAATAAATATAGGTATTTTGTGTTGTGTAGTATTTGGCAGGAGGCTGTCATAGAATTTTCATTTTGAGAAACAGAATCCACTCATAGACTTGATCGTTCAGGTCCTTTGTGCAGAATTTTCAGTCCTCAACTTTGGGAGCAGCTAGTCTTAACCACATTGTGTGACACTAATGCTGGCTGTATAGCCAGCACTATATATGCTAGCTGGTCTTTGGTAGACCTTCACCCTCCAGGATGCACCAGCATGAGACTGTCTGTCCCTCAGTACAACTCAGCTTCTCTGTATGACCTGGCCTCACTGGACTTGTTTGCCCAGTGAAATGAAACCTAGCTAGTTTGGAATGGGACTTCCATCCATACTGCACTGCAGTCCCCAACCTGCCTCTGCTTCTTTTTCTATTAAATGTCCTGAGGATGCTATAATAAATCTCCATATACTCAACATAGAATAAGAAATGCTAACTATCGACTCAATCTATCTTAATTAGCAAGAGCCTTCATGAGTAGAGTTGAATGACTTTTGACTTCTAACCAATCCAAAAACTGTAATGAGTTATTAATTGCAAATTGAAGAATAAAGTTTAAGCCATTGACAAATATCTAAACTAAAATTATACTTCTTTTTTAATTGCAACAACTTGGGTGTTATTTAGCATATTTTATATGTAAAATAAATTTATTTAGAAATTACCGTAATTCTCTATCCTAATAGATTTTAGTTTCCCTTTCTTTTCTTACCACATTGGATAGGACTATTGTGTGATAGTGGTAGATAAGAGAGTGTTTTCTGCCTCCAAATTAAAATGCAAATGCTTCTAAAAATTTTGCCATGTAGCTTAACATTTGATTTATATTTTGAATAGTTACCATTTTTTTCCAGAGTAAAGTGACTTCCTTGATTACTATCAATACTTCTTTAAATAGTTTTTTTCTGAAATGTTTCTCCTTCTCCTACCAATTGGATCATATTTATTTTATCACTCTGTCAAAAATGTTATGAAGTGCATTGGTAATTTTTCTAGTGTCAAATGATAATTGTATTGCTATGGGTAAGAATTTATATGTCAAACATTAAAATGTATATATTTCTGGCTCATATTTGCTTGTAATTTAATTTTACTTTTAATTGAGGGCAAGCTCTTGAAGGTTTATGTAGTTGTGAGCCACTCAGCATGGGTGCTAGGAACCAAACCTAGGTCCTCTGTTATATTCCTTAGCCGCTGAGTCATCTTACCAGTTCCCTCACGAATATTTCATGTGGTATCTTTCTGCAGCTTTTATCCAGTGTTGTATGTCCAGCTATCAGATGTCAATATTGTGGTTACAAAGGTAAGTGAGGTACTCACTTCTTACATTCTAGTGCAGATATCAGAACATAAAGGCAAAAGCACAAAATGACAAAATGAAGGCTACATACTTTGACAAAAACATTTAGATTGACATATAAGTGAAGCATTCACTATACTTTACCCCATTCTCCCAGATATTAAAAGCCAGAACAATTCTTGTCTTTGATCAAATTGCTCCTGCTGCATACTCTACAATTGTGGTATACAGCACTCTCACCACCTCCCTGTCCCCTCTTCACAGAGCCCCTCCTCCATTCCCCTCCTCTTCTCCTCTGAGAATGGGAAGGACCCGTCTGGGTAGTAACCACCCTGACACATAAAGACTTGGCAGGATTAGGCACATCCTTTCCCACTGAAGCCATACAAGGCAGACAATTTAGGGAACTTGGATCCACAGGCAGACGACATAGTCAGGGAAAGACCCCTCTCTAGTTGTCAGGGTGGGGAGACCTGCATGAAGACCAAACTACACTTCTGTGTCATATATGTGAGGGTGGGGGGGATGGGAGGAGGCTAGGTACCAAAGCCTCTTTGGTTGGTGGTTCAGTCTCTGGGAGCCCTCAAGGTTCTAGGTTAGTTGGCTTTGTTGGTCTTCCTGTGGAGTCCCTATCCCTTCTTTATCACTCAATCATTCGCCCAACTCTTCCACAAGACCTGTCTAATATGTGGCTGAGGGTCTCTGCATCTGTTTAGTCACCTGCTGGGTGGAGCCTCTCAGAAGACAAGCTAGGCTCTTGTCTGTAAATATAACAGCATATCATTAATAGTGTCAGGGATTGGTTCATGCAGTGGGTCTCAGGTTGGGCCAGTCATTGGTTGACCATTCCCTCAGTAGCTGCTCTATCATTGTCCTGGCACAAATTTAGAGTTGAAGGTTATTTGGATGGATTGGTGTTCTTATCCTTCACTGGGAGTCCTACCTGTCTACAGAAGGTGGTTATTTCAGGCTCAATATTTGCCACTGCTATAAGTCTCAGCTAGAGTCACCCTTAAAGAATTACTGATGCCTCCCCTATCCTAGGTTTCTGGCAAGTCCTAGAGATGCCTCCAACTCATGCCTGCCACCACTTTCCATTCACTCTTCTGGACCTTTCTTGCTATCCCTATGCTTGATCTGGCCCCCATTCCTCTTCCCCTCCCTATACCCTCTTGCACCAAGATACCTCCCTCCATCCACCTCTGATAACTATTTTATTTCTCCTTTTGGGTGAGAGTCAAGCATCCCTCCTTGAGCCCTCCTTGTTATTTAGCTTCTTTGGGTCTGTGGATTGTAGCCTGGGTATCTGATAATTTAAGGCTGGTATCCCTTTATAACTGAGTACATACCATGCACATCCTTTTGGGTATGAGTTACCTTACTCAGGATGATGTTTTCTAGTTCCATCCATTTGCCTGCAAATTTCATGATGTCTTTGTTTTTAGTAGTTCAGTAGTATTCCATTGTGCAAATGAACCACATTTTGTTTATCTATTCTTTGGTTGAGGGGTATCTGGGTTGTTTCCAGTTTCTGGCTATTATAAATAAAGCTGCTATGAACATAGTGGAGCAAGTATTCTTATGGCATGGTGGAACATCTTTTGGGTATATGTCTAGGAGTGGTTCTTGTGGTAGAACTATCCCTAAATTTCTGAGAAAACACCAAATTGATTTCCAGAGTGGCTGTATAAGTTTGTACTTACACCAGCAATGGAGGAGTATTACCCTTGTTCTACATCCTCGCCAGCATGTGCTGTCTCTTGAGTTTTCAATCTTAGTCATTCTAATAGGTATAAAATGGGATCTCAGAGTTATCTTGATTTGCATTTCCGTGGTGACTGAGGACAGTACATTTCTTGAAGTGTTTCATGCATGAATATTGATGCAAAATATTCAATAAAATACTTGCAAACTGAATCCAATAACACATCAAAAACATTGTCTACCATGATCGAGTATACTTCATCCAGCAACGCAAGGGTGGCTCAATATATGAAAATCCATCAATGTAATTCACCATATAAACAAACTGAAAGAAAAAAACCCACATGATCATATCATTAGATGTTGAAAAGCCTTTGACAAAAATCCAACACTAATCACATTAAAAAGTTTTAGAGAAATCAAGGATACAAGGCATACACTTAACATAATAAAAATAATATATAGCAAGCCAATAGCCAACATCAAATTAAATGGAGAGGAACTTAAAGCAATTCCACTAAAATCAGGGACAAGGCAAGGCTGGCCACTCTCTCCATATCTCTTCAATACAGTACTTGAAATTTTAACTAGAGCAATAAGACAACTTAAGGAGACCAAGGATATATAAATTAAAAAAATAGATATCAAAATATTGATATATACATAAGTCACACCAAAAACTCTACAAAAGAACTCCTGCAGCTGATATATACCTTTAACACAGTGGCTGGATACAAATTAATTCAAAATAAAAAATCAGTAGCCATCCTTTATATAAACAATAAATGGGCAGAGAAAAAAATCAGGAAAACAACATCCTTCACAATAGCTACAAATAATATAAAATATTTTGGTATAATTCTAACCAAGCAAGTGAAAGACATGTATGACAAAAACTTCAAGTTTCTGAAGAAACAAATTGAAGATATTATCAGAAGATGAGAAGATTCCCATACTCATGGATTGGTAGGATTAACATAGTAGAGATGGCCATCTAACCAAAAGCAATCTAAAGAATCAATGCAATTCCCATCAGAATTCCAACATAATTCTTCATAGTCTTTGAAAGAACAATTCTCAACTTCATATGGAAAAACAACAAAAAAACCAGGATAGCTAACACAATCCTAAAGAATAAAAGAACTTCTGGAGGAATCACCATCCCTGATTATACAGTGCAATGTGATTAAATCTGAATAGTACTGGTATAGAAGCAGACAGGTCGATCAATGCAATTGAATCAAAGACCCAGAAATAAAGCCACATACCTATGGACACTTGATTTTTGACAAAGAAGCCAAAACCATATAATGGAAAAATGAAAGGGTCTTCAGCAAATGGTGCCAGTTTAACTGGATGTCTGCATGTAGAAGAATGCAAATAGATCCATATTTATTACCTTGCACAAGAGTCAAGTTCAAGTAGATCAAAGCCCTCAACATAAAACCAGATTTACTAAATCTAATAGGAGAGAAAGTGGGGAATGGCCTTGAGTGGATTGGTACAGGAGACAACTTTCTGAACAGAACACCAATAGCTTAGGTACTAAAATCAACAATTAATAAATAGGATTTCATGATACTAAAAAGCATCTGTAAGACAAAGGACACCATCAATAAGAAAAAACAGGGGTTGGGGGTTTAGCTCAGTGGTAGAGTGCTTGCCTAGCAAGCGCAAGTCCCTGGTTCAGTCCTCAGCTCTGGAAAAAAAAAAAGAAAAGAAAAGAAGAGAAAACAACATTCTACAGAATGGGGAAAATGTTCATCAACCCTATAATTCAACAGAGGGCTAATATCGAAAATATATAAAGAACTCAAGAAGTTAGACACCAACAACCCAACTAACCAATTAAAAATGGGGTACAGAGCTAAACAGAGAATTCTTGATAGAGGAATCTCAAATGGCCAAGCTCCTGGTTTTTTTCAGTACAGTTCTAGACATGACTCCAGTGTGCATTCCCTCCACATACTCACAAGGCCAACTACCTCCTTGGTATTTCAGTTTAGGTGTCTTACCTCTATCTCAAATTATAAGTGTCTAACATTGAGCCCAAGACCTCTTATATGTAGGCTTTCCACCTCAGTAAATATCTTCAACATACAGCTAGTTGCTCAAGATAGAAAACTGAGGGTAATACTGACTTCTAGCCCTTTTTTATGGGTAAGCTATCCAATTTTACCAACAAAATATATTAAATAGTAGCGATATATGCAAATTTTGCTATCCAAAAAGTATAAGGGAAGAAAATTAAAAAAAAAACAACTTTAAACCACTGTGAAATTTGTAAAGTAAATGGAAAATATATGCAGAAATCTAACTGGCTCTTTATCAAATCTACTAAAAATAGATGACTAAAAAAATTAAGGTGTCTTTAAATCACAGTCTGGTACAGTTTGTAGGCAAGTGTATATGCAGTGCCTTGGTGCTTTGTACACACTGGACTTCAGGGATACATATTTGAATGAATTAATGAGTGAGCTCATTATTATATAGTCAACTGAATCTATGCTCTGCTGCAGTGAACATTTAAGAAATCATATTAAAATGACTGTCCATACTATTTCAGAACACAGAATTGAGTGTTTTACTTATTACATTTCTGTTATTATGGGAAATATCACAATAAAATATATATGCATCCGTATTTTATGAGGCATTTCATGTCTGTCTTTAGAATTGATTCCTGGGACCTAACCTAATAGCTGAAAGAGGGAACAAATCTCCTACCACTGCTTGCAAAGAGCATGATCCCTTGCAGAGCCCTGAACCCTTTCTTCCTTCCACGCATGCTCATTTAAGAATGCCTTGGCTAGGATCATCTGAACTGCAAATGGAAACTCTATGAGGTATGGGTAGTATGACTCTTTCCTGTCACTGGGCCACTTCATACACGAGCAATTCTAAACAGCTGGTGTAAATAAGAGATGTGGGCAGGAGGTTACAGAGCATCAACCCACAGCTCACATAGAACCTTGGCTCACTGGCCAGTCTCAGAATAAAAGACTCGACTGCTAGGAACATTATGGAATATCTGTTATTTGGAAGACTGTTTATCAGTCATTTGTGTGTAAAATATAAAGATAAAGCCCCCTTTCTCTCCTCTTTTGCTTTGCAGATAATTACAATCTGATTAAGACAAATATACCCATGAACAAGTTAGCCATCTCAATATTCTTCCACTCTGGAAAGCTAGAGACACAGAGAGTATGAAATAAATATAAAAACAAAGACAAAGAAAAGCATCTTATGTTCTACCTGAGACCAATTAAATCGAAACCACTGGAGGTGAGGTCTGAGCCTCCTTTCTCTGTTCACTTTAAAGTTTTCCCATCAACTCTTCTGCAGCCTGGGCTGAATGTGCATGCCATCTGCCCCAGAGTCCTTATTTATCAGGACTGCCAGGCCATTAGTGGCTCAGGCTGCCAAGGAAGGCTTCACGGGGGCAGTGTGACTTGACTTGGACCTAAAAGGAGATGGTAAGTTGGACTGAACACAAGGATGATGTTACACATTACAGGCAGAAAGAATGGCGCTAACCAAAGTAGGTCAGAGAGAGCGAGAAGAGCAGATGTTGCGATAGGCAGGAGGGCTGGAGAAGGGATGACTTCAAACCAAGTGAACTGAGGAAAAAAATGGGAAAAGACAGTGTGGGGCCCAACTTGACTTGAAATGCTGGAGTTTTCAAACTGGTGGCCCACAGCCCCCACCAGACCCATAAACATGTTTATGTCCCTCACAGTACCATCCTTCATCCCAGGAAACATTTATCTCTGAAGAATTTCACATAAAAACTCCGACCTGCCAACTCCAGGCTCTTGTCTTTAGACGACCATGACAGGCTGGAAGCTGAGTACTTTAGGTGACAGTGCCCTCCCTACTCCCACCTGGGGTGTGCTAGATATACACATATGCTAACTGAATTGTTCATGGAGTCATATGGGCGCCTTACTCCTGTTTGGCACAGACTGTGTTGGGGAGGCAGTGTAGTAAAGACAAAGGAACATCCAATTGCAGACCCATAACGGCCATTGCGGCTGCTCGTGACAGTGACCTTGGACAGCTTTGCTGACCATTCAGCTGCAGTATGGAAGTGTGGACACTGACGAAGGGAATGGTGTGCTCTACAAAGGCAAGCTTAAAATTGACATTTAATGACTCTAACTGGAGCTGGCCTAATCCTGCCACCAAGTTGCATGTCTTGCAAGCATGGAATAGGTAGGTATTCCATGTCCATATGTAGCACCAGCCCAAAAGAGAAGACAGAGCATTAAAAGCAAAAGATACTTTGGGGTCATTAAATTCTACTTCTTCACTATCAAATAAATTATATATATAATAAATAAATTATACACACACACACACACATATAATATAGATGTAGCTGTAGATATAGATGTGTATGTGGATATGGATATGGATATAGATTAGCTTTGGCCTAATATGTAGTCACAAAACTCCTTTTCTATTCTCTCAGGACTGAAGGAGCTACTGACCTCACCCAACTTCACTGTACAAGGAAATCAACTTTGCCTGAGGAGCCTAGAGTCAATCTTCAAAGCAGTTTTGCATCCTGCAGGTTCTGAAATTGTGCTGTGTACTTCATCCACCTGGACACTTGACCTCTGACCTTTCTAGTTCCTTGAAACTGTAGTTCTTGGAGTCTTGCGGCTTTTAGGAGTCCAGCAGATCATTGATGTAACAATTTCTGGCATCGTGACCCATGCTCCCCAAGTTATTTATCTTTTGATGTTAAAATCCCTATTCATGCACCACTAGAGTCTCCATGAAAGCCCGAGAAAGACTGGCTAATCTTCCTCAGCTTGATAGGAAGGAGAAGTAAGGATGGATTAGTTCTGCCAACCTGGGCATGGTTTCCTGATTGATGCTGAAACTCTCCAGACCCAGAGACTGGAATACCTAAGGAGTGTGTGAATACAGGATCTCCTGTGTCTCATTCCTGGCATTTCTGCCCTACTTGGGATGGTTCCTTATCTTCTATATCGAAACACTGTCCAGCTTGTGCTGAGCACTTTGTCCTTGATCCACACTTTGAGAACTACTGATCCATAGTGGTCACTACTGATCACTATGAACGACTGATCCATCAAACTAAACTAAATATCCAGTGAGCCTGGTAGCTTAGACCACAGTGGGCTCTTATTCAGTCCAGTCTCAGATCTCTGTTGCTTCCAGCCATGGATGAGGAAGAATTGCTGATGTAGCCAACACCTGGAACTGTGGTCACCAGGCAAGAGGCTCCAGCTGCAGTCATCTGTGGCATATGTGTTTCTCCTTACCTACAAGTCCAAGGCAATCTACCCCTATAAGGATAGTGTCCATAGATCTCCTCTCCAACTTGGGACTTCCCTAAACCTTACAATTGGAACAGATCCTGACCATCATGAACCACTCCAGCAGGCAGCAACTTTTCTCATGGGCTCTGCCTGTTCTGTGCTGTGTTGGCAGTGCCTCTAGTCATGTGGTGTATCATTTGTGCCACTCACCTGCCACACCCTGGAAGATGATGTGTCTGCAAATCTGGGTTAATGCAGGTCATTTGCAAAAGCATCTAAGTATTTAATACAAGGTGAAGGCATTTGTTTAGCATGCGTGAGACTCTGGGTTCTATCTTCAGCACTAAAAACAAACAAACAAACAAAATCCAAAAATTTATTTTAATAATAATCCTTCAAAAACACCACAATAAACTATGACCAGATCTTGACAACATACACACACGCACACACACACACACACACAGGGTGGGGGGAGAGAAAGACAGAGACAGAGAGCGACAGAGACAGAGAGACAGAGACATAGTGAGTTCTTTGTTCTGACCTCTGTCTGGTGTTGCATTTGAATTAAGCCTACTTGGTGTGACTCTTGCAGATGGCACACAAGGGCATTAGTGAAATGATGTTTCTGATAGTCTCCACTGCACTAGCTTTACAGTACCAAATTCTTGCAAATCATTAAATTAGGAGAGTAATTTTCTGATTTTTTGGGTGCAAGAATTTTCTAGACCAGGGAGCCAAACATATCACATGCTTTAAGGTCCCTGACCTCCTCTGGTTTTTCAGAACATTCTGTAAAAGATCACTGCTGCACTGAGAGGAACTTGAGTGGCAGACATCTCATTGGAAGTCATGGTCAATCACCTCAGCTCTGCTTACTGTAAGCTAGATCTTATTTCTTCCTATTTGCCTTTGTGGGGTGTGCTGTTTGCAACCTTTGGGGATAGATATAAACAACAGAACATATGTATCAATGCTTTTAATTTCATATTGTATTTGAATAAATTAATGCAAGGCTGTACAATATCCCTAATAAATGTGAATTGATCCGGGTCACCTGGGTACCCTTAAAGGAGATTTGCTACTTAATTCCTTTGATAAAAATTGAGATTGTTGGGCTCAGTGGTGAAAGCGAAATAGATGGATATGATTGACATACAGAGGTTGTTTGCAACCTCTGTAATAGCACGTTGAGAATACAGAGAATTCCAGTTCTAGAAAGTTTGTTTCTTCTAGGAGTGAATTCTCCTGGGAAGAGTCTCTTCCCATAAAGCTTGCAACCCCATCCCTTAGCACATTCATGAAGGTACTTAATATGTGTTCATGACATTGGACACAAAGCCTATTCCACTTCTAACCCATGACTTAGGATTCTACAAACAGTTGTGTTAAGTAATGTTAAAAGTTGTATAATCTCATAAAATTGAAATTTTGACCTGATTTATTTACTTAGTTATTTGAAAGATATCTAGTTAGTTTTGTGGCTTCACAAACTCTTTGAGAAGACAATATGCCAAACATACATCATATTAGAGGAAACAATATTATTCTCCAACCCGTGACAATCCTCCATTCATTCTAGATTAGCTAGATGGTGCCAAATGTGCTATATTTGGCTGCAGAGGTAGCTCAATCTACAGACTGTGTGCTTGTTCTGCAAACTTGAGCACCTGAGTTTGATTTCCCAGAACCACATTATAAAGCCAGGTTTGGCAGTACACATCCATCATCCCAGGGCTGGGGCCACTTGGACATCCTGGTGTGACAGTACAGCTGGATTAGTGTGCTATCTAGGCGTCTCAAAAATACAGTGGAGAGTGACAGAGAAAGACTCTGGACATCACCCTCTGGCTTCCAAATGCACACACACATGCACATGTGCACACGCACATAAGCAAAACTGAATCTCAAGGAGAGTAGGAGTCTGTGTTGAAAATATGTTGTCAAGGCTTACTGGTGTTAAAGGATGTGTCTCATCCTAAATGATAGCTCACAGTATATGTTGGGCAGATCACTTCACTCTACCAAAACCATTTAATTTTTACTACCTGGTATTTTAGGAGTGATGATTCTTTAATATGATCCTAAAGTTATCCTTAAAGCTAAAATACATGCCGGCTGTCTTTTGCCATTTGATTTTTTTAATAGACTCATTTAACTAATAGCTGTAAAGCCACCGACAAAATTGGTTGAGCAACACAGAAGAGAAAGCATTGTTATCAAAACCAACTCCTTTCTTTCATTTTGGTGGCCCATTTGCAAACAGATTAATTTCCGATTATGAGCTAGAGATGGGAAGACTATAAAATGTTTCACTTCGGCTTTGCTCGCTTTCCCTCTTCAACTTCCCCTGTTCCTTTGTATTTATTTATTTATTTATTTATTTATTTTTAGCAATTAATTCCTCATCTGACACTCTGGCGGATGCCATTCAAACTGCAGCAGCTTATTGGGTAGTTAGGAGGATAAAATCAAGTAGCCATTCTACTAATCCCTTTACAAGGAAATAGCTTCCCGCATAAAGAGTGGAACTTATGTGGCCATTAGCAGATGCTCCATCAAGCGACCAAAAATATACACATTTAAATTCTTAAGCACAATCTATGAACACTACGCAGATGGTTTCCAAGAAACTGTACCTAAATTGATTACGATAAAAATGATCTGCTGCGATTGTTTCTGTCAAAAGGGAGAAGAGAATCTGTCCCAATGTGTCGCTCTGCCCACTCATGCAGAGAACCCAGCTGCTGGGACAGATGTTGCTCTAAGCACTTTATTTTAGGGTCATTAAAATGGTTACAGGGGTTAGTCATTCAGTGTTTTATAAATTGTGCTTACTATCCGAGCTCAACAGATGCGATGAAACTTGTTTGTGGTGAATCTGAGGCTGAGTTTCACAGCAGATCCATCCACCTTGGGCTTAGATGCAGATATGAGGAACAAATGGGAAGAAGCAATTGA